GCCGCTTGTCTTCGCTAGCTACGGTAAACATCAGTGCACTATATATGCCGACCGGTGAAAATAATGCCTCAGCTATGCGTGATAGCCACATCTGACAGCCTGTCATACTCACAACTGTACTCGGAGTCATCCAACTTGGCTATTGGTCGTACCTGTTGGGCCGATAGAAACCAGGTTCCAACTATGCGTGACATCTTAACGACCAACGACTGCCCGTCATACTCGTAACTGCAGTTGATATCGCCTACGTTGGCTGCTTATCCCAATTGCAAGACCTGTGTTTATGTGCAACGCTGAGTATAAAACTGACGGTCTTTCATACCCTTAACTATACGCGATGCCGCTTATCTTCGCTGGCTACAGTAAACATCAATCCAATATATATGCCTACCGGTAAAATCAAGGACTCAACTTTGGATGATAGCATAATCTGACAGCCTTTTATACTCACAACTCTACTAAAAGTCACCTAACTTAGTTATTTATCGTCATACTCATACTTAGTCGATGCCGTTTACGTTTGCTACCTTCAGTAAACATCACAACTGCAGTCGACGTAACCTACGGTGGCTGCCTATAGTAACTGCCAGGCCCGTACACATGCTCGTAGCTAACAATAATGCCCCGGCAACACATAATAGAATAACCCAACGGCCAACGGTGGTCATCGCCTGTCGAACTGTAATCACCAACCAATTTGATAGCGCACTCCCAACCGGTAGGTAGACTAACCGTCAACTAACGGGAATAGTTTAATTGATACATGTGCACTCTTTTGGCGGACGCATCTGAAGATTTTCTCCACACAGCGGGCAGGGCTCGTTGCCGCAGCAATAACGGTGATATGGAAGTCGATCACGTTGACATCACCAATCAGCATGGTCAGTTGGCTGGCCACAGAGACCACAGGGAACAGCGTCGTTTGACGTCGACCGCCACCGTGGTTGGTTGCGTTTGCCATCCAGCACCAGAGGCTGACTGTCCTGTGCACTAACTGAATTTTGACGCAACATCACCTGGCTATGGACACGTGCGGGTTCCGACCGAGGTGTTGACTGTCTGAGAACATTTGGGGGTTTGTACCACAAACTGACTGTTACTAACAACGGGCTTCCAACCTTGAAGCGATCTGTCTGGTTGTACATCAGATTTGGCATGCATATTCCAATGTGCCTGAGAACCTGATTAGCGGCGTACGTTGTCATCCGGGAAACAGCACGTTGAACGTAGATGTCTCCCTCCCAAATTTTTCGGCGATCACAATAATAAGTGGTGTGTATTTCTTATTCGCGCATCAGCTCTTCGCTGTGATGAGCGACCTTCTGTACGGCATGCTCCAGGCTATCTGAGTGATGCACGCGCCTCTTCAAAAGCCCGTTGGCGTTCTCCAGGCGGTTGTTGGTCACATTCCCAAAATGTACCATTTTGTGCATGAATGGCCCACTTTCGAGTGATGTGGAGCCCGTGGGTAGTCAAATAAGAGACAAAACTGGGATCTGTTCTCCTCAGGATTTGCAAATCGTGGCGAAATCTACGCGATTAATGTTTGGTGCAGTCACTTACTCACCTGCATTGTCAGAGCGAGCCATGCGGTGGAATATGTGCCGACTGCGGTTCGAAATTGACTGCAAAAGTTACACCAAAGCAATGAAACGTGCGTGCTTCCGGATAGCTTGCTGTGCGTGGAAATAGCACATCATTATATCGCAGCCAAATACAGCTTTGGCAGCCCGCATCTGCGAAGTCATCCTGTCCATGACGAACGGTTTGACTTCATTGTGTTTACCCATCATATCCTTGAACAACCTGAACAGCTTGCGCAATGTCGCAAAATGCTCGCTTTCGACAAGGGCATATATTACGGGTCGACTGACACCCATGCCATTCGCCACAAGGAATGTATAAAGCTTGTACCTCAAGAGCGAACGCCAGGGGCTCTGAATTTATTTACTCAAGACGGTCAGTACTGTGTGTAGCATCAACGTTTAGAACGTCCGGGAAACGTCTAAAGAGTGCCATCTGCTGCGTTCGGGAAAAGCACAGGTTACTATATCTGCCACCCACCGATTCCACCATTAGCACGCGACGCACTCTCGAAACTTGGCTATGATGGATGACATGTCATCTAAAAAGCCGACCAAAAGGTACCAACGACCTACTTAACAATGTGGGTCGACATTTGACGCGATAGTTACGCACATCCTTGTTAGCGAGTAACTTTCCAAAGTGGTCGACGACGGGCTGCCGAATCTCCGATGACGGAGCACTATATTTCAAAAGGGTACAACACTCCTTCAATTCATCATTTGTCAGTTGCCGGTTGATGGGGAGCCTGTCAAAAATAAACTTGCTGCGTGGATGGTTGTGCTCCGGGTAGTAGGAAGTAACCCTCAAGCAGTCATGATACCGGCGAACGTGGAGCCTTGCCGGACAATCAGTACGACGTGTGCTACCGCGTACACACAATCAACCATGAACTTACTAAGTGCAACGAATTCCGCGGCTTCGTCTGCAGGGAAGTCTGCTGCAACGTTGGAAGGCTTTTTCATACAAAAGTGGCGAATTACTGCTCTTTTTGGCATTCATGCAGTCGAAAACAACGAAATGTTTTGCCTGGTACTCTTGAAATGCATTGAATGAGAAAAAACTTTGACGAGCCAAATTCTCCGCAAAATCATCCGCCGCGTTCACGTGCTCAGTCATAGCAGCCATTAAAATACGAATATCGCGGGCGTTGAATATCGTGGGGATCGAGTAGGTTTAAACAACAATCAACAAAACTGCGGCCGTTGGGAAGATCTCATACGCCCAAAAAATTGCCACTAAATGTTAAAACTTTATGTTAAAGTTTTCCTCCTTCGAACCACGGTTTCCCAGATATTTTGGGTGTGCCTCGAGCCGTCGGCGCATTGAATCCTCCTCACCTGAGAACGAATTCATCGACTCTTCATTTTCCACAATTACCGATTAGGATTATTTGACTCGTCATCTGAGGAAACCTTTACGTAAGAATCTGTGGTGAAGCCCTGAATCTCACTCGCATTGGTCGCGGGCGAAATCGGAAGTCATTCAGGGTCTTCGTTTTATGAAACGCATGCCGCTTCGATATACCGAAACCTCCTAATTGTTTGCAATCTCGAGCCTCGGAACTTCGAGTGTAGCAGACTCCATCTGGATGTTGACTCAGCCAAATTCTGGTGTGAGACTGGAGCCCAAGTTAAACGTCGAAAAGTACGTACATACATTGTTCTGTGGAGAGTCTGAGAATGATGATACTTGGAAGCTTCTAGGTCGAATACGGGAAAGGACCCGGATATCTAATCGTTTTCTGTCATATTCGCTTTACTCCATGGGGTAAAAACGGCAAGCAACAAATACACTCTCGTGCAGGTGACCAAATTATCCCTCCCTTGACTGAAACCCGCGGACTTCAAGTAGCTTTGTGGAGCACAAGTTGACTGGATGCTGGCGGATGTCAACCAGGTGGTTCACACTGGATTTTTGAAGTATTCCCAGTACGTTCATGATGTCAAAATCAAAGGTGGTCTTATATGACATGCTAGGAATGTCTTGAAACCCATCTTTTGGACTGCAGACATTTGTAGCTTTTCTGGTTGGTGTTGTTTGTTCAACTCCAAGAGACTGAAAGGTAGTGCTACCCCGATTTCCCGCATTCGCCTTTCATATAGGGCGTAGATATATTGAAAACTCGCGGCAACTGATTCCTTCAACAAGGGAAGCCCAGGCAGTCACTTCACACACGTCACTTCACACATTCTGGATCAGTGGACCGGCATCATGGTGCCGATTAGAAAATCTCAGTCCCGTGTTGGAAATCAGTCATCCATATAACGATTTTCGCACCCATGCATTTGTTTTTGCCACGTTCGTTTCTGAAAAACCGGGTTCTTCTCTCAACCCAGTCTCTAGCAAACTTCCGTCAAGACTAAGTCAGTGATGGATGATTATTTATCGCATTTTCTTGTCAAACGGCAGGATCAGGTCATATGCCTAAAGCTGCCTAACGTTTCGAATGCATCCACAGATGCAACCAACAAGGTGTGCATTTCTCGTGAATAACCCAAGTGTTACGGCACACGAGGACAAACATAGATTACAAGTGCAAAATTTTCGGCCAAATCCTGTCTTGCGCTGTTGTCAGAGCCCGGCATGGCTGACACCTCATAGAGGCCAGTGAAGCCGCCTACAAACAGATGGATCTGCCATTGCATCCTGAGTTTCTGAAAGAGCTTAAACTAACGGACCTCAGCTAAGGCCAGAAAAATTCAATTGCATCAACTTATTTCAACATTTTAAGGCGCATAGTATGAACACATTTGTTGACCACATGCAACTGCTTGGGAAGCGACAACAGACCAAACTAGCAATTTGATTGGTCCATAGTTGATCCGTTCAGACGGAAAAAAATAAGCAATGTAGGTGAAGTTACCTGCAAGAATCACCGCATCTCGGTGGTCTCTTGAATGCTTTTGCGGATAAATAATACTAAAGCGCTAAATAACCCAAGAGCGGTACTTAGGGTAATCAAATACTCCACAACAAAGCCTAAATTATCACTGCGGCAACAGCACTTCTACCTTTAAACTGCCGTAAGGATAAGACCCCCCTAGCCCATTTGATTTACGTTATCGATAAATTAACGGACTGACAAAATTCAGAGATGTATTTGTTAACAAACCAAGAAGTACCAGTGTCCATAAAAACCAAAATAGTGGAGCATATTGTAGGTTACTTGCGCCGCTCAGCAGTGAGAAGACGACTGTTACAAAGGACATAAGCACCTCAAGGTTGCATGCTAATAAGCCCTTCATTTTGTCGGAATCCTGTTCGCAAAATTGTGTATATCCCACGCTTACGTTTACGATTTCCACAATGGTCACCCGGCTTACTGCTCTCAGCCTATCTAGTGGTAAATTCAAAACCAATCACATAAGAGAGTTCAGTGTAGTCCCTTGCCGACAGGGTTATCGCCATGACTTATGGCCTCCGGTGACAGTTGGAGTGATTTTTGTGATACAACAGGTACTCGGCTTTCCATTGAAGCCCTTCAACTCTTCAAAACACATCTCAATGACTTCCGAGAAGATTACCAACCTGGATGTGGTCGGCACTTTTTGCAGAGCATTACAGAGAAATTAAATAAAAAGTTTGAACAATCACTTTCTTCATGCTATTTCGAAGATCCAAAATGCGATTCTAAACGTAAGTTTAGTGAGCAGACAGACTCCCTTGCGCTTTTTAATTAGGCACTTCAGCAGTGTTGTATCTGGTGTGGCGGAATAATTTGGAAGATTCAGATAGATAGATCTTTCGCGCCAGTTCCATCCTGGGTAATTTTGTGCGATAGGGAACGTCGGCAGTGTGTTAAAACATGTCACAAGCCCGGATTTTCATAGCCACGTGCTTAAATAGCAACTATTGCACTGTACAGTGCACATTGTATCACATAATACGATGCAACCCTTGTATACATCTTAAATGTGTTTCCGCGTACTTCCATACAGTAGTAGACCGATCTGATCAACTTAAAAAGATCCGATTAAGGGGAACCCGCATTAATACATTCAGAAAAAGTACGCTGTCTTAATATGGCTGAACAAGTTTGGTCAACCGCGACAGAAGCCACCGTAGCCGGCCAACACGACCGATCGGTGGTCCGCCGTAGAAAGAAATTAAAACCGTGTGCTCACTTGAAGCGAGCAGCTATTGACGGTTAACTGTGTTGCATCCTCATCATTGTCAGCTGTAGTAACTGCGTACTTGTGCAGTGGTTGTAGCACTTTCGTTTCATTAATACATTCAGAAAAAGTACGCTGTCTTAATATGGCTGAACAAGTTTGGTCAACCGCGACAGAAGCCACCGTAGCCGGCCAACACGACCGATCGGTGGTCCGCCGTAGAAAGAAATTAAAACCGTGTGCTCACTTGAAGCGAGCAGCTATTGACGGTTAACTGTGTTGCATCCTCATCATTGTCAGCTATAGTAACTGCGTACTTGTGCAGTGGTTGTAGCTGCCACTTTCGTTTACCGATGATTATGGTAGGTGGGGTAGGTAGCTGTGCATTGGAGGCGGGAGCTGATAAACTAGTGCGTAAATACAGCACTGTGGACTGTTGAGTGGATGATTGGGAAGGGAGCTATGCACTGAGGACAATTGCTTGGATACATGAGCGCCATTGAGGGCGTGACTAGGCCATGTCCGATTGTGTTGCAGGAAATAAACAGTAAAAAAACGTTCATTTGTCCACTTAAGTGTTGTGCTTTGAGGTACACAAATTTTGCCAGTCTGCGTGACCACCAGGATGCAGAATTGACTCGAACATACAACGTAAACTTGCGGTAACCTCGGTCTGTCGGTACTTTAGTCCCCTGCCTGGGAAGGTCTGGCCCAGTCGCGCCCTCAATGGCGCTCATGCATCAAAGCTATTGCCTTCAATGCATAGCTCCTTTTCCACCACCACTACCCCGCTTGACAGCCCACTGACAGTGCTGGATTTATGCACCAATTTACCAGCTCGCGCGTGCAGTGCGCAGCTACCTACCTCCCCCCCAATCCTCGGTGAACGAAACTGTGGCAGCTACAACCAGTGTACGACGAGTACGCGGTTCTTACAGCTGACGATGATGATGATGACCTGGGCATTCGATTGCCAGTCAGAGTTGTGATATCTATGCACTATGCAATTGTCCGCAACAACCCCACACGTAACCGCTATCCATGTCAAACGAGACTCGTGACGTGAGTTGGCACACCACAAGAGACATCTAGCTCCTGAGCGAATACAAGAAGTGATAATCCCAGTTTTCTCCTATTCGCCGCATCTCCTGTCAGTGGCTCGACTTACTTCCAACGTTTCTATTGTATTTTTGTGAATGCAGTCTAGAAATTCGAACATGAAGTACTGTGTGTGGAGCCAAAGTTTCTACAGGTCCTGAAACATCTATACCTTATCTTCTGCGTCCTCTGGCTATGCCAGTCCTCCTACAACATGGTTGGACTAATAAACCATCGGCTTCACAGGGTCTATCAAGATACCCCTAAAATCCACTGATTCGTGGTTCGGACTTTTAAGTCGGAGGCTAGAAGAAGACCCCAGAACCAAACTCTACCTCTGTCTTGTGGATTATGCTTGTATCTCAGCCAGACCTCCCTTCTTTCTAGATAATAGGGGTGTATCATTCGCCCTTATAGCTGTTCACTCGTCGACCCTTCCATCAACCATGTCTGTCTGATTCATTTAGCTGTCAGTCACCTAACGGTTGTTCTGTATCTAAGCCTAGTAAAGTAAGTTCAAATAAACCCCTATTAAGCCAGTGGGATCTGTGCACACTAAGGCTGTCAACATCCGCACTCTGAGTTTGATTATTTAACAGAAATCTGTTACTCAAACCCTGTTTCCTCCGACTGATGTATGCTGCGTATCCGAAACATAGACACAAGATCTCATTTTGGTCATGCACCTTGTTTGGTGACCCCGGTGCAATGGTCTGCGGCATCCTACGGCGTGGGAGTTTTGCTAAGCCCCAGGTTTGGATGCACCTTGATTGACGGAATCCCACTAAGTAATGGTCTTTACGCTGTTCAGTTATGGTCAGTGCGTCTCAGTTCGATAAACGGTGTCTATTACATTGACTTACGCTTCTATAGAGGATAGGTCTGAGTTGAAGGTTGAAAGCTTCAGTCGAGATCTGTCACGGCCACTTCGGTCAGCAGCAAGTACAGATATTGTAATTGTGGCAGGTGATGTGCATACTTGGATCGACCAAGTAATTCCGGAAGAGACACATTGAGGGTTGGGTTGAATTGATGCTCACCGCAGAGATTATGGTGAACAGTTTCTTCAGCAGTGTACTGAGCGTTTTTTCTGACCAGTATGAACTTTCGACACAAGCACTTACGCCATGTTACCTGGAGTCCACGAAATGCAAATCAGCCCTGGACTCATCTCAACCATGTGGCAATCGGCTACCGGTAAACATCTTCCATAAAAACTATCGTCCATCTTGGAATGTGCAAATTGAGTCTAACCACGACATTGTGGAGGCACGTGTACCGGTTTGCTTGCCCCTTTGGTACACACCAGCTGATGCGAGACCATTCAGTTCACCGTATGCAAAGCGTCACCGTAGCTCGAATTATCGTGACTGTTTGTAAAAGGCGAGAAAAGCGGTACCCACAGTTATTCAAACCGTCTTTCCAACATCGCTTCCACACCCAATTCAACACGATCATATCACATTCGGCACCTCTCATTGACCATGATGGTGGACGCCTAATAATGGATAACGTAAGGATTAAATGTTGGATTTCGATCGCCTGGGTAATGGAGAGAATTTGCTCCAACCTATTGCATTCACTCCGAAAGGGCGGAGGGTGGATGCTGGCCAAACTATCGGCGAAACGGATGGGACCTCGATTCGTTCACGAGAATGTCGTTTTGAACGGTAGGTTGAGCACTTTGAAAAACTCCATCAACTCAGCCTCTGGAAGAACGACATGAACCTGCATAATACATCTACATAGGCTTTTCATCAACAACGGAAGCCAAGCATGGAATTCCATAGTGGCACAAGGCATGCAGTCCGATCGATTTCTACCCCGCACTCTTGAAAGGCGATCAACCTCTTGTGGTCCGTCTGACTAACTTTCCCCAAAATAGGAAAGAAGAAAGAGTACGGACAGAGTGGATCTCTTCAACAGTGACTTCCGTATTCACAAGCGTTTCAAACACATCGTGGACAAAGCGGTCCATTAGTCTACTGGTTGCGGCTTCCGAAGTACTCGCAGGTGTCGTCCGTCATCGGGAGAATCATCCGCGAAAACCAACCTGAGTTATGCCTTGGTCGATGTCACATCAAGCATATCTCCACTTTATGACAGGTGCTGGAACTGCACCACTCCATCCGACGACTAGTAGTGGTCATCTGAAAGGCGCTTTCGCCTCTCAGTGTCTAGCAGTGAAAGATATATTTTCTAAATTCTCGTATCACAAAGGCTCTATGCACTTCCTCCCGTGGATGCTTACCACACTACAGCAAAATTTCTCCCGAGTTCACATCCAATGTTGCCAGACGAAGTTACCCTCTGGTTCCTATCCTTCTCCCTCTTCATAAGTGATGTGCTGCTTAAGTCTTTGCCTATCCTTAGCACCTCACGTGTCATTCGTTCACAAACGAAGTGCACTGAGAAATCATCCTTGGATAAGGCCCTTTAGAACTAAAGACCAATCCAAATAATTCTACAGCACTGTTGGACGTCCACTTCAGTGCCGAGTATAAAGTGTCCATACGGGACGGGATACAATTAAACCGAAGCCTCGCATACAAATGAACTGGTCGATGTGGTAGATAAGTTCGTTCATTTCAGCAGCTACGTAGGTGTCGTGGGTGCCTCCGAAGCATTGCGTTATATTGATGGGAACGTGTGGTCAGATACACCAGAAGTTCTTCTGGGACAATAGCCCTCCTTCGATAGACCAACCGACCACACTCCATGGGTTACGCTGGTTATGCCATGTGCTTCGTATGCCAGATGATCATTCACCCCGGTGCCCAGTTGGCCAACCGTGTGTCAACCGTGTGGGCCAACCTGGTCAATCTACGACTCGGTGGAGAAATGTAAAATTACTTGTCGGTCAGCCCATTTGTATTGGTAACTAAAGTCTCCCAGATGGGGCCCTGGGACGAGACAAATGCATGTTTAGTAACCCTCACTATGTCAAGCAGCTAATGGTGGTCCTACATCAATACATACTTCCTCCACTCCTTACAGTGCCAGGTGCCGAATGCCAATGATTTTTCTACATGTTTTGTTTGTCCTCAGCGAAAGAAATTAGCAGATAGAACCTACCTAAAGCTGCCACCTTGACAAGGTAGTCAGGTTTGAGTGCTGCAACAATCACGCGGGCTACGCTAGCTGAAACTTCGTTCCTCAGATTGCAAATATGTCAAGTAATCCAATAAGGAGCAGTCAGATTAAGAGCAGCGAGACTCCATTCTACGATTAATCGTATTGCAAGGCGGTCTGAGGGTAGAGTCGTACTGTCCTCTACGATAGGGTAATGAGGGCAGTAAGGTGTTTCTTCCAGGTGACCAGCATGTCCGTATTCATGGAAACGACAGTCATCATCATCAAAGACAGCAACATCAGTGTTGGCACTGATGCTTCACTGCCGTACTGGAAGCAACAGTGCTGCCTTCCCCCCAGAAACAGTGGGTTGGAAATGTCCATCTTAAAAATCGTACACTGCAACCGCCCAGCGGTTGACCATGACCGCCGGTGCATTATTAATTACGGTCAAAATACTTTTAAAACCAGAGTCCAATGCTTCTCAGAAGGCACCTTCCATGTGTAGTCGCATTAGGATTCAACCTATCAGGCCTTACTCCCTCTCTTCGCGCCAGGTCAACCCCCTATCGCCAAGCGGGTCAAACTTCTGGCTAAGGATAAGGTCTTCGTACAAAACTCTTTGTCCTCAGGCTCTTGAGACAAGACTTAAAGTGAGGTATCTCAACCCAACTTCCTTCCCTGACCTGGACAACCGGGAAGTATCATTTGCTCGCATACTCCTTGTCCACCGATATCCCTCCCCAGTCCCTTCCCACTACACAAGCAAAAGTTACAGGGGCATCTGATTGGAAGTTATCTTTCTGGTGGGCCTTATGCACCACACCGTCCATTAACAATAAGCAAAATATCACTGTGCTAAACCCGCGAACCCCCTTTTACGTAAGAGTTTTCAACGTCCGTACATTGTGTGAAACTGGCAAATAAGCAATCCTTACCGAGACCATATACTTCTTAAATCCACGTTTCCTAATTTGAAACACCTGTGGTGTCAGAATGGTGTATCCCTGAATCTCAAGTGGCGTGTATACCGAACTACAGCACGGGCTGTTGTGTTGTATGACTGTGAGACTTGGCCTGTTCAATCCGCGGGACTGAGAATTCTTTAGGTGTTTGAAAACCGTTGTCTCGGAACTGTTTCCTGTGGGTTGGTGTCGGCGAATCCGTAACGAAGTAATTAGAAGGCGAAGTTTCGGTTGTGCAGCGGGGACTTCCATTGAAGAATGTGTCCAGCGCCAGGAGCTGCTTTGGTTAGGTCATATGTTGCGCATGCCGAACGATCGTGTGCTGAAGAGAGTGCCGTTTTCTGTGCCCGATTCATAGTGGCGAAATCAGAGTGGTGGCTAGCCCTTGGTCTGGCAGAGGGGTGTAGAAGAGATTACGAAACGTTTGGGTGCTGTCGGTGCGACTCACCTTCCAGGATGGAGACCGCGTGATCCCCACTGCGCGTGGTTGGAGACGCTGCAAGAAATGTCCGCTAATCGATGTCAGTGGCGTTCTGATTGTCAGTATCCATCCAGATTGCCGGAATGTGTGTGGAATTGTAGACCCCTTGGGATAATGGTGATAACTTAGCACTGAGTCTTTTCCCCGTCCATTTTTATTCTTTCCTTCACAGCAAGATCTTTAAATAAATCATGACTGCACAGCAGCGAAGCATCAGTGTTGAACACAAGTCATTCTGTCAATGATGATGTTGGTGGCTCCCTTAATGTTGATGCGTGCCGTGTCTCTGAAATACATACGAAACCCAAGGATGGCTATGCATCTTCGAACATCAAGGATGCAATCAACTCTTTCATATTACACTTTATGTCCCGTGATTCAGAAGCGATTACTAATGGAATATATGTGGATGGCTGCACGTAAACCAGGAGCTGAATGTACCTTGCAGGATTGAATTTCAGCAAACAGTCATCATTGCACCCTTTGGTCATCTAGCTCAATCAATCTCAACGCCACTCAACATGTTCGTAGTATCGGCATACACTCCAACGGACTGCACCTCTTACCTTGAGGAGGGCACTTTCTATCAAGAGTTATCCGGGCTAATTCGTCAACCAAGAACCACTGATGTTGTGGTCCTTGTGGGCGATATGAATGACGCCGTCAGTTGTCTGGGTTCCTTGGAATCACATCTTGGCGGTCAATTTGGAATAGCTGCTCATTGCACGGCTACCAAGGTTAGAATCATCCAGTTATGTACTGATTATCAACTGTTTCCAACTGGTACGCACTGGGTGACCACCAAGTACGAATCAGCCGGGGACCCAGTTGAATCATATGGCCATCAGCCACCAGTGGATAATCCCGGTTCAAGGTTGTGTTACTTTAAGGGCACTCAACTTGACCCCGATTACGCCATAGTGCGAGTGCGCCTCACAGTCCGCTTCCCTTCATGCAAGTCTCGAGGAACACGGCAATCCACCAGCTTCGAAGGACTACCGTGGCTCAACAGGATCGATCTGAATTAGCTCAACTAATCTCTACAACAAACCAACACTGTACTGGTTTGAGAAAACATGGATGATCGTAATCACCATCAGAGACAGTGACATCAGTGTTGATACGGATGCTTCGTTGCCGTACAATTGCATAGTTTATCGACGTTTAAAGCCTTAGAATGAAAAGAAGAGAAACGAATGGGTGAGGAGGGGGCCAGGTGCTGAGTTGTCGTAAGCATTCTGAGGTGCTCAGTCAAACAGTCTGGAATGAAACTGACAACACGAATGCCACTGACATTGATCAGCCACTATTTCTTGCAATACCTACAGACGAGCGCAGGTGGGGTCACGAGTACCTGATCCTGGAAGCCGCACTGCACCAGCAACACCCAAACTCCGCATTTCCTCTCACAATTTTCTGTCAAAACGTGATTTTTGCATGGCAACATAGTATTGGAGCCATTACCAGCAAATTCAGCGACGCTGGTCATTGTCGTCTTTCTGGATGCGACCCCGAGATGAGACACATTAATGGTTAGAGACACTATCAGGCATGGTCTGTTCCGCATATGTTTCGCTATAATGAATGAATTCGTTTGAAAAATTTCTTGCAAACAGGCTTTCGTCTAGTCGCGTCTGAAATCCGCTGCACTACTTTTTTATGATTTTTTCCTTCCAGAAAGCAATTCTGGCGCAAAAATTTAATACCTAACGCTCGTTATAAACGGAAACGCCACAAAAATCGAGTTACACCAGCTCAACCCAACTGCCCCCGAAGTTTGCGCAGTTGCTTCGAATTCCTCTCGTGTAAAAAACGTTCCAGAGAGATTAATCTTTGAAAATGATTTTCATGGTTTATTCAACTTGAGTTCCAAGCCTGCTTACTTTTTTATCTTTATTATCTACCGTTTGATGTTCTTCCGTGATATGAAACAGCGATAGTGTTTGTAGATGAAGATAATGATGACAGTGGTGAAAGCTCTCAACAGATTGGAAAATTTGTTTTTCCTTATAACAGAAACAAAGAAGGATTTTCTATCCAATGAAGACATTACTTCAGTGGGATCTTCTCTGAGTGAGGCTTTTTCCCTACCGGCCTATGCCAATGCTAGTGTGGTGGTCGCTGCAGCTAGAGCGGCAATGCAAGAAAAGCAGTCCGGTCAGATACCATCCGTGCGCGACTGGCGTTCAAGAAGCACAACGAACAACAAACTTGATTCAGAGACGCAAGAAAAACGTGACACCAGCTCAGTTCGTTCCAGCAGAAAGCAACCCACTAAAGAAAAGGATGCGACAGACTTGTCTTCACCGTACTTTGAACCTAAACACGGATGGCGTTTTGGATCTCTTTGGTTCCGACGCAGTTTCACCATATTATGGCGACATCGGTCTTCCTCTAGGTCAGCTCAAAAGCCTTTCTTCGGAACTGCTGAGAACCAGTCCGTTTCTAGTGTGCCATGCAGGTGTGTATCTAATCATTCTTCGGTTCACAAATTTCAACCCAACGTTTCTAATCACTATCATAAGGGAACAGCACTGAATTGTATCAGATATTTTATAAGCAGTTAGTCTGGTAATTAATCGTTTGGGCAATTGTCGATAAACCAGCTATTCGACCTAAGATTTCCTCCGTTCTTTGTCGATTTTCACTTGTCTCTGTTCATGCTTCTTCGTTATCTCCACTAACGATAAGTCCTCTTTAAAACACTCCCAAGTGACGACTCGCTCTTTATTACGATCGATTTTTCTTCCCCGATAGGTTTTGTCATATGTTTGTCGCATATGTTTTGTCTCGTAAACTGATTGTCATATTCGACTTCCTTCCAATGCTGCATACAGTTTGTTCCATTTTGTCGGACACCACTGTAGCCTATTCAGTGAAAATTATGTTGACGTACGAAAGATATTCGTAAGCTTGTTGGCCGTTAATGTGTAGCTCTACAGCACGCGAAACTTGACATCACTCACCCACAAAACGGCCACATCACTAACGAGCCCTCATGGGCGGGAACGAAACTCCGTTTCTTAATCGGTCGGACGAAAGTTGGTACCGGTTAGAATTAATGAGTCCTAGTTCAGTACTTGACTAGCGTAGGCCTCTTTTTGTATGGTTAAGCCATAGATAGATTCATTACAGAAGGGGTCATTGGATGGGGTACTGACTAACCGGGTTAGTTTTTAGCCTTCGAAATTCAACTTAGGTTTGTCCTCACAACCTAATTTAGATGATGTGCCTGGATTAGCATAATGGACTGTCAGTTGTGTTTACACCCACCACAAAACATAGTTAGTGTCTATGATTGTGGCGGGGAACGATTGAGATCAAACTAGCCAGGAATTCCTTCCAAAACCTACTGGCATTTCCCGGCGGTCGATAAAGCATGTTGCCATTATAGCGCTGTGGGTATGGCCGATAAGTAGCTTCCGAAAACTATGTAGTTGAATCGCCTCTGGCATTTCAGACTCGTCTTCTATTCTACTGAAATTTCATGTGCATATATTAGCATGTCTCCTTGTTCGATGACGAAACATTTGCAAATTGATTGCCATGCTCGGTGACCAATTGAACAAGGAACTGGTCAGCAACCAATAAACGCATCCGAGCCACCAATATTCCGACACATTGCCAATGCTTTTCCCCTATGACGGCTACCTATCCAGTACCAGTGAGTTATGCCGAATTCGTAACAGAGCGTAGTCAGAATTCAGCTGATTGTACTCCTAGCTAGTTCTTCCTGTTAGAGTTGTGAGTCACACTGGCGTCACGACTTTAGCATATGTTGTTCATACCTGGATTTCGAAAGCTACAACCATTCTAGTTTCCTCGTCTGTTTTTTATTCGGCTTATGAGTTTTGACAAAAATTACGTTCACAATATTCAGTTACCTTCATGCATTTCGAAAAACCGGCAACACGGCATGTTACGGGCTATGTCGTGAAATTTCCCCTTGCCTGTTGTATGTACATGACCGGACAGAAAGGATCGAATATTTCGTGTTTCAATATGAGATATTTCATGTTCAGAAATGACCGAATCGTTTCATCAAGGTCCACCAAGAGTATCTTCCCAGTAACCATATAGAACTAAATCTCCATCGGATTAATTTAAAATCACTTGATACTGTGCGTGTTGAGTTTCTGAATAGTAGTGACTTCAGTTTTGTTGTGTTTGGTCGTTAAATGAGAAAACGAGTATCATGCTTAGGAGGAATACGGTAAATTTGCGCCATCACCGCGAATCTTTCAACGACGTTGGAGAGTTTCTCTAAATGGAAATATGACCTTTTTGGAACTGGACACACTTAGAAATTGGATGTAGGCCTGTGGACGCTTGTGAAAAAGCCAAAATCACTTATTTAGGACATAATGTTACTCCTGTTAGATGGAGTTGGATACCTTCTGGTGTAGAATTCACAACTGTCCCAAGAACACTGGATTCAAAAAGGGGGCGCCATAAAATTAAGGGATACTTTACTTCCTAATGATATTTCCGCTGACCATTTCGCCCCCTCATCTCCGAAACAGTTTACTAGGTTGACCTTCTAACTGAGGCTTTCCCGTTTCCATTCCAACGCAGCACCAAAATCAGTTTTCGAGTCACCCAATATATTAGTGTATTTGGCGGATCTTCAATCAAACATCTTCCGGCGACACAACAAGAGGCGGTTCTTGATGATTGAGGATGACCATTGTCTTGTCTTCTTCACTCATCCTATCTCCTATCTAGTAATGGCAAAAGGCGGTAATGTTCCGAAGTCTAGATAATGCGCGACTGAGGTTCAGCTGGTATAAAACGACTGCGCTGTAACAACAGAGCGCCCACTTTTCGGTGGGTTGGTATAGCGCATTTCCCAGCAGAAATCCGCGTCATGCTATGAATTATAGTAATCAGTTCTGAATAATACGCTCCCATTTGAGGTCCGCCAGCTTCTCGATAGATGAGGGGATGCATAATTCGTATTTGATGTATAGTGTTGGTTTATGTTGACTTTTTGAAGTATTCATTACATGCCTCGTTTTTTGGTTGTGATTTTGCATATCATCCCCAACATTCCGTCTCATTGGACAAAATCCGAAATTACTACAGAATGTTGATGCACTGGGCTCAAAACGACGAACGTGTCATGTGAACGAGTTTCTTGGTTGAACTATTCCTAATATGTGCGTACTGCGGGAACGTAGGAAACTTTCCAGACTCACTGATAGGTTGAATCTGTTTGAAGATGGTACAATTTCCCGGAACACCACCGATTCTGATGTTGTGCTGCCCGTGATACTTCAAGTCTTGAGACTGGAGCTGATCGCCGAATGCCACGAGTTGGCACACACAGGGTGCACCAAGACATAAGACTTACTTTTGCAGAGGGCCTACTGGCCCAGGATGAGAAGCGAGGTGATGGATTATGTGGTGTCCTGTAAGCGGTGCCAACTGATGAAATGGGTTAGGGTAGGTGCAAGTCATTCCATGCAACCCATCCCTGTATCAGAGATCAAAGAGTTATTGTCCGTTAACGTCATGGACCCCTTTTTGGTGAAACCAGCGGAAATCAATATGTCGTGATAATAACAGAACACCTGTCACGGTGAGTAAAGGCGGCAGCCGTGCCAAATCAACGAGCGACCACGATCAGTAGTAGTAATGCGTCACGTCACAATAACTAATCGAATAATCATTCAGCAGTAACACCCTATCGGTGCCTAGCTGCAATGCCATACGAAATAAGCACGAGGGCTGGGATACTTCCAGGTTGCCCAAGCCTAGACAGGGGAAGTCGAGAAGCGGAGGTCGGGTTCGAACCACGAACCTTCCGGTCAGTAAATTCGCGCTCTAATTGCCGAGCCATCTTGCCCCCGCATCACATCGTGGGCAACCACGAGGTGCCAAAAATGACCCTAATGGACCAGTGGCCTTGCTTCGAGAGCGAAGATTTTAGGATTGGCTTGCAGAAGCCTGGCATCAGACGGCTAAGGACGGCACCATACCACCCGCAAACAAACAGCCTAATCACCTGGTAAAGTTTAGTCTATTAACAAGACTAAGAACTAAGAAATATTAGCAACTCATGGCCTGTATAAATCTAGGCTAATCTCTATATGCTCCCATAACGCAATGTTGTTACCAGTTGTCAAGTATTTAAAAGGCCCGATCACCGTAGGCCTCAGACCTCTTAGTGATATTTTCTTAGTTTATGCGTAATAAATCGTACGGTCGACTTGTGTTGTTCTATTCCAGTGGAGGTTTCCGATCTAAATCTTATCCCCGCTTTCCCGGTTCGGTCATAAATATTCTCGTGGAGCTGGTTCGTGAGGGGACTGTGATGGAATGGCTAGGAGCCCTTAGTACGCTTCATCATGTAAATCCCGGTGGACGCGATACAAACCCCAATTTCGCGGAAAACGGATTACCTGACACTGGTTGGGCAGAGTCGCGTCTTTGTTTGTTCACCACAAGTGCAGGACAAATCCTAGAGGTGTACACTCCTCCATCGGTAAGTATATTGTGCTGTCTGCTACATGGTCCTCAGTCGCCTACGTGGTTCCACTTTTAGTTATCCCGTTTACTCGGATGACAGCAAACTGACCCTGTCATGTACCTTAGTGGCTTCCCTGCACATTTCGTCAACATTCGTGGCTCCTAATCCTGAGCCAGGAATGTTGACGAACATCCGTCCCCTTCACTTGGTTTGAACTATGATGTGACGTCCCGCCACACATGCTAACCAATGGACGCTTTGTTGCGTCCATATTTCTAAAATGGTGAAAACCTGGTCCTCGGGTTGTGGTATGATGCAATCAAACTTAACGTGGCAACCTTGAAACTATTCTATGGAACGTTATGCAGCTAGCAAATAATTTACCCACCGCGTGGTCGACACACTGTCTGGTCTATCCATCCGTACAAATGCGACCGCCTTAGAACTAGACTGTTACTACTCTAGTGTTTTGTCTATGGGCGTGAATGTCTCTTAGCTAGACCTGGCGGATCTTTCTGTTTGGTGACTAGATGGCTATCAACCTTGTACTAAACGAATACAGTCCCAGGGATTCCCTTTTTCTGGACCCGCGCGAAGGTAATTTGCACTGCACAGTGACGAGCAGGCTCGTGCGCACTCAGGCGACATTAAGCAACATAGATAACTTAATTTCTACCATGTGCCATATCTGTCACTCATGAACTTAAGGTGAAACGGAACCTGCTTGTGCTATTCTTTCATAAAAACGCCAAAATTGAATACATTTTATAGATACGGTGAAGAAACAATATTCCTTATACACTAAAATGCTGCTCTGCTGAATTTTCACTGTAATGAATTCTGAATGCGCTGTCAAGAGGCTTTGGGAAGCAAAGCCGCGGACGTGGTTAGGTGAGCAAGCGCATCATCACACGCATCCTCTAAAGCTTGCCAGTCTGATCCAGTCACCGGCATATACGAAGTCGTGACAGGTGAACCAAGTAAATGAAATGGGAGAATTATGATACTCCCAAGTGTGACTCAACAATGTTGGTCTATGATCAGGTGCGGATACTTGCGCAATCAATCGAAGTGAGGAATGCGCGACATGTTTTGGGGGCACATAGCTTCCACTCTCAACTCCGTCGCAAAACTATGGAAATAATACTGCATTTGATACAAAGATTCGGAAAATCCTTCAGCTTATTCGGTTTATGGTATTACCTAGGTTTATCTGTTTTCGTTACAGAAGCCTCATTTGCTGAATCGCATAATCCACGGCACTTCATGATCGTCCACTGGTGGTTTCTGATTAGGCCTGTCGTCAAATTCAACCGAAATGTTCGTAGTAGTATTAACTTTTTTCTGGTGCTGACCGACATTCACAATTGTGAAGTGTATCCAGCGTGACTGACTCCGTTATATATGCTCACCATTCAGCTTGGTGGTTCCTTCAAAATTTCCAACAGCTTGTCTATGACGGACTGATTGTTTGCCGACTTCACGTCACAGCCCGCTAATCGACACGAAGTTGAGTATTCTGCCTGGTTTGCCATCAACCGTTGGGCTACGGTGCGCTAGACAACCCGTTTCCAGACGAATTTGATTCCTTCCTACTTGCCAGCCTATGGTGGTTAATGTGTCTAACACTACGAATTCCCCATTGTGGGTGTGTTTTTTGATGCTGCATGACCCACCGTCTTGTTTCTGTTCATCCACCTAGGGACAACTAACCCAAGTCGCTGAGTTGTTTTTCGTACTTCCAGCATACAGATGCTGTCCGGAATTGATTTTTTGAGCCTTGCTTGCCGGTTGACTCACATGGTGATTCATTCTCAGTTGAAGCTCTGCACATCGTTGGTCTTTCGTCCCAGGATAGATCTATGTGATTTAATCTGAGTTCACAACCCATTCTGTGTCCAGCTTCATTGGCAATTGATCTGTTTACCCAGCTTGGCAACATATTTGCAGACGTTTCGTCAGCATTCGTGTAGACGTCTTCACTGCGCTGTTGGTGGGTAGTCCCTGTCTTCGTGCTCGCGTTTATATAGTTCGCAAAGAGCAGCTTTAAGCTATAACCTGACTGGCTATTGGTAATCCTGTACTTGGATTCTGATCGGTCCGATCGCAATTTGTATTGCGTTGTAGTCTGTATTTCTGGGGTTCGACTGTCACACATGTTACAATTTTCGGTCGTTGTTTTCTCTTCTTGTTGGTCCGTTCGTGATCTGCATTGTGTCGTGGCCCACCTTCCTGTTGTTTGGTTATTTGATGATGCGTCTTCTATTCTCAGTAGTCTGCTGTCCTCGTCCTGGTTGGTCCTTACGCAGTATACGTTTTATGTCAACGAGCATGTTAATTTTCGTCTAACCGCGGACCATGCACATACAGTCCATTCTTTTTTGTAAGGCCAGCACGTTTTATTATTTTTTTGTCGAACTGCTCACACACTGACGTTTGTCACCACAAAGATTGAGTTCGTTCACCAAAGTACTTATGAGTGGGCATTATTCATGGACTAAAGCAATAAGGGCATCTAAGCCAATGAGATCAAAGCACCTTAATTGTGTTCACCTTCATTCGACGGAAGCTCGAAACCGAATGAGATAATCGATGCAACATGTCAATCAGTGGTGCGACAAGATAAAAAAGACCAAAGGAAGTGGAAATTCTGTCACGACAACAACAGTATGCAGTCCGTGAGTATCAGAACTACCGATTGCTTTTTCAGCCCTAGACAAGAGCCATCGAAATACCATGCGTGAAGCAAAACACAAACATTATCCATTGTGCTATTTTGACCTCTGACTGCAGCAACTCACCTTTAATTAGAGACCACTTCCCGTTAGGTTCACAACTGCGTTTCTTCTGAAAAAACCCTTCCTCCACCAAGGGCAGACGAATATCCACTTTGTCCGCGATGGTCCCTTTCGGGAGAATTACGGTATTCTTAAACGCTGGTGGTTATGACACATTTTCCTGCCGCAGCTTCAAGGCTATATTTGGTATATTCTCGCCGTTATCGTTTACTATTATTGTTGGTAATTGATCACCACCAATATTCCAACACACTAGCATATCATTATTTATCGTTCCAGACGGACAAACCTCGATACGGTATATTTTGCAATTCCATTGTTGAACTGAAGTCCATTCCTCGTAGTGAACTTACCGAACCCAGGGACAACGTCTTCCTCGTCAAAGTTAGTTCCCGCTGTTGTTGTTATTGCCATATTTTACCTATTCACCCTTGTTCAAAGTTCATGCTTATGTGCATTATGGAAAAACCTCAAGTTTCCCTCGTATTAGCTCCTCGGTGCAGCTGCCTACAGGACCTGTCAGCAGAGCCGCAGGTGGTCACATTTGACGCTTCCTATGACTGAAACCCTTTGAGATAAATACACCATTCGCCATACTAGGCGATAACCTTTTCGGCTTTCCAGTTTACCATAAAACGTAGTGCGTTTCTGTAGTTCGTCGAAACCACTCCTGTTTAATGAGTGCTTCCCTACGATTCAGTAGCAATAGCACAAGAAACCACTCAATTATTTTCAGCCTTGGGCTCACCAATCAGCTGCACGCAGTTGCGGTACTTTTTGCAATACGGTCAACCGCAGAAGTCCCAACTTCGTAGATAGGAATATGAATGACCACAAATTCTCCAATTTTGCACACTTAGAAAAGTGGCTTACTCATCCTGGCTTCATTGGGAATGCTTACAGCTCAAACTCCGAATCAGATGTGCTTGCTTTCTGTGTAGCGTTTTATCCTCAGTTCTGAGCAAAACGCTCGATTTCTCGAACCTTTATTCTGATTGAAATTCATCTACACATGACAGAGTTGAACTCTGATGAGGATCGTCATCAGACACAGCAACATAATTGTTGATAATGCTGCTTCACTGTCGTACATCCACAATGTTTATCTAAGTATGTTTGAAGCCTTAGAATTAGAAGAAAAGAGTGGGTGATGGAAGTTTCCTGGTGCTGGCTTGTCGCAAGCATTCTGATGTGGCTACGCCTCCAAGTGCTGAGAATGCTGGAATGAAACCGACAGCACGAATGCCACTGACATCGATCAGCCGCCATTTCTTGCAATAGCTCCAGCCAAGCGCAGGCGAGGTCACGAGGACTCTGTCCTCGAAAATCTAAACTCTTCGTAATCTCTTTCACACCCTTCTGCCAAGTCACAATTCGTCCACTTCGTGGTTTGTGACATTATGAAGGAGACACAGTGAACAACACTTATCTCGGTAGACGGTGTTTCACCATGCGTTAAAGGTGCCGGCTCTGATGATTTCGTTTGACTTCTGGGTCCACTGGATTGTCGATGGCTAATTCAGGTATGCGCGTTCTGTGTACATCTAAAAAGCGCGGTGAAAAGTAGCAGCATACACAAGTGTATGATTGGAGTCCACGGTGGTATTCCAGAAGGAGTGGCAGGCGATGATCGACTCTCGTCACCGATAACTGACGGCCGGTGGTCTATTTGGATTCAGGGCTGTTTACTTGATGGGCACTACGTTGCCAATCGATTCCAGCTGTTCCGGAAATTGGTACTGCAAAGGAATAGTCTGTGGTCGACACACACTATCCACTATCCGTGCGTCTCGTGTGCAATCCAATGACTTATGCTACCTGTCTGAGCGTTCATGTCACCAGCAACCACAACGATATCTGGGCTTGTGGTCCGTTGTAAGAGAGCACCTAGATGGTCATGGAAACTTGTCGATTCAGAGCTACAGTCAGTTAAGGCGTAAGTGGACGCAAAGTGCGATGGACCGCACGGTCTCGAGATTCTCTCTCAAACGAACCGTGCAGAGGCGACTATCCAATCAAGTAGATATGCTTCCGCTCGTTCGCTCGATACAATGTACACCGCAACATATCCAGCTTCAGTGGTCTCTGCGTCACCAGAGGTGAGCAGCCGGAACTTGGAAGTCAGCGAGGGGGGGCAATCAGTTCAGTTACAGTACTTGCGTCCCTTATTCTTGTTTCTTACACAAAGCATACATCAATGGAGAGGGAATCCAGCATACGAGCAAGAGCCACCTGTTGTCCTACTTGCTTCAGTGTGCCAACATTAAAGGCAGACAAGTAGACAGGCTTTGAATGTTTCGAAAGGTTGGAGAGTATTATTAATTGTAAGTGTCATGGTTGTACTTGAGCTGGGGTACTGTCAGGGTGCTCAGACCTAGACAGTAGGATAGTTAGGGTCCTCGACCAAACTCTTTGGTTCAAAAGCCTGAATGCAAGGTGGCGTAATTGCAAGCGCACTTCAGTTTTTCACGGAACAAATCGCCGTTCATGTTCTAAACTTCAACCTGGAGGTCCAGGAGTCCGTGTTGGTCAGGCCTCTAACCATTGACCAACCTGATATGAGAGACTCTGTGGTCGTCGGGCGGACGCTACCCAGTATAGCTCGTTGGGTCACGGAGGTACACAACCCGTCACACCGTGGTAAGGTCCAGTATCTTCGTGATGGTCTGATGTAGATCTCAACCTGCAGATGAAGTCAATTTATGCTGAAAATCAGAGAAGCAGAGGACAGTCAGTAGAGTCACCCGGCACTCACTCTGAGGGATCCGAGAGAATGAATGAGCACATCTAAATGTACTCATAAAACACAAAACGGTATACATATGGAGCAGAGGACGAATAAGTCCGCGAAGGCTACGTGCCCAATAAGTAGAAACAATCGAACAGTTACAAATTGGTGTAAATGTACCGAAGAGACAAAGGGGATTACGGACAAAGGGTGATCAGCATGCGCGTACCGCTCTCCAAAGCAATATAATTCAAGGCGTGCACCATCCCTCATGATGTCACTCCACATGGTGTGTGCGAACTGCGTTACAGTTGGACACGGGTCAACGGGGGATCACATACTGAGCGTAACGACTTTGTACACAAAGCTGTCTTTGTCACTTGGTTCGCGACCGAGTGAGTAGCGGGCTGGAATTCAATCCTGACTGTTCACGTTCCATTCCAGGCAAGGTCAACTTTTCCCCTCAGGCATGCATATACAGTGTTGGACAGACGTATGTAGAGATGGTAGCAATGAGTGCGAGACGCAGACATTCAACCGTACGTCGCTGTAACTTACCGATACAGGTCTGCATTAGATAGACCACACTATGCTAAAAAAACACAGACGAGTCAGACTACTTACCAGTAGTCTGAGTCATATTTAACCTCTGCTTCTTGTTAGGGATCAACAAATACACTGGCATGCCATACTGTCGGGAGAGAATCCCTGGTGATAATACTGATGCAGGCATGTACTACGAGCCTGATTACTATCTCTACCACATGAAGTATATTCGTTTTGCGTTTTCCCTTTGTGAAACCAGTCATTGACGCGGTGGGTTTAGTTTCGATGTGTCAATCTTTTCCTGGTCCGTTGATCTGTGTCAACTTGGCAGACCGGCTCAGGATTTAAAGGACCCTGGAAATATTTGCATTCGGTTCAAAACCCAGATAAATTAAACCCCAAAGTTCCGACTACTGACCTAAGTAGCAAGCTCGTCACTTTTATTTTCATGCTTGTCCGCTTTGTACACAAACCACGGTGTAACGTGACGACCCCTATTCCACGAGTATGTTTTGTGTGTGCACACGACCGAAAGCCATGAAAGGGGGAAGCGAAACCGACAACAGAAACTGATAGATGCTCCATTTTCTCCGTTAACTGGCGCCAACAGATGCATGCTGAGGGTGGAATGAATAGAATGGATCAACTTGTATTTTTTCCTAACTAAAACTAATGATGGTGGTGAGATCAGTGGGTTGATCTGTTGGTCACCTGCTGAATTCCGCTTCATTGCCTTGTTTTAATTTTGCGTCGCAATCTGTGCTTGCGAATTATGTAGTAACGTGCCGGATGTTATGTTATTTTCCAGGAAACTCAACCTTTATATCCTCACCAAAGCGCTAATATTCAACCTTCCAAATCGTGAAACATTTCCGTCATCTCATGGAGACCATCGAAAGTAGAGTCGCAGCTTAAGCAGAACACAGTTTTTTTTGTTTGGCCTTTTGCCGATCATTTCTGGAGCAGTCCAAATCAAACTCGTAACAGTGAATTCGTTGTTTTCAGATCCGAAGGTGCGTGAAAGATCACAATGTCGGGACAACAAATGACGTTTCCAACAATTTTAGTGCACTAAAAAAGGATCTTCACTAATCAGTGTTCTGGGAAAAACTCGCTGAGCTGACTGGCATGTCTCTGTTTTTAGTCTCCCTTAATCATAGAGGAATAAATTCACCCAGTAGCCGGAAAATGATTCCTGTGTAAAAATTCCTGTTTCTTCAAATTTCACCAGGTAACCACGACGCCTAATTCAGTTTTCACAGTGGATATCAACACGCAGTTTCAGAGACTTAAGACAGGGATAACTTGGTTTCTGGACAATATAATCACTTAGTGTCGTCATTGTTTGGTTGAAATACAGAACTTGGACTGGGTATGTAACGCCGGACTACATGAAGTGAGCTGGTTGGACTGAACTAAGAGAAACTTTGAGAACCTCACCGGTGTGGCTACTTTGTGCTACATAATTGCGTCTTATGTAGGCCGTGGTTGTTACTAGGCTTGTATCCCAGTGATCTCATATTGGATCCAGAACTGTCACTGAACCAGTTAGTCAAGTCCAGTATATCTTCTGTCTATTATCAACGCCGTCGTAAATCGGACCAGTGAACTAACATTCCAAGGCCCTTTGACGAGTGTTATTTCCCTCTATTTATGTGCCGTCCGTACTTAGACAGAATTCAATGATCCGAAGTTTTTCCAAGCCTCTACCTCCAATGAAGCAGAATGCTGGATGGCGGCGATACGTAGAGGTCTCCCACCCCTGCGCCGAAAATCATCGAAGAGTAGTAAATGTGCTTGTACCAAATCCAGCACTCTCTTGGAGGACTTGCCAACCTTGGCAGCCCATCCTGTCAGTGTTGACTCACCTGCCAAGCCAGCACCACGTGACAATACCAGTAGCAATCAGCGGCTTAGTTCCGGTCATCGGCGTCATTTGATATCCGATAGCCCTCTAGTTGAGGACTACCGTTGTTCTCCTGATTTACCAATTTCTAAAGCAGCAACACTGGCGGCCTTCACTGGTTCCAAGACTCCTTGTTCAACGTTTGAAAATAAAGCAGGAAGCCATACGCTACGACTACCTTCCAAGTCAGATTCTTCTGGTCAGCCGGATGGGTATGTTTCACTCTTCGTCCGTGATACCAGTACCCACATTTTATGCTTGCATGTTTTCATTATGTTTTGAGGAGTACTGTCCCTGTTCATATCCTACCGTTTAATGGGTTCTATACCTAAAGATTATTTTTGGAATTGAACAAGTTATGTTTGATAATTCATTATTAGATCCCGTACCCAGTGTACATAAGACTTCTGTCTACTGCTGCACTGGAGAATTGTGAATCAGCAAATCCATCCACTTCAGTGCCGTCCTGATGCGGTCTTCTGACACCTGCGACGTTGGTTGACTGCTAAATCGCACAGCTCTTACGTTTCTTTTATTACTCCTCTATCCCTCCGACAAGGCTCCATGAAAGAGACGAAATAGCGACATTTTTCTTGCGTCTCCAAAGAGTGTGACCGTTAATGTTTCACTAGATTAACGAAAAGTTGCAACTCTAAGGGAGGACAACCGTACCCTCTTTTCTGATACATTTCACCGATGCAACCTTTGAGTTCACCATCCAACTAAATTCAAGTTACAGTTCACTAATAGGTGTTTCGCTTGCCAGTTGTGATAACGAGTGAACGAACTTACGAACTGAAATCATGAACTTGAAATCCAAAGCTACGACCGGGAATACATACAATGTCCACCTTGATCAAGCGGACCAGGTTGGGCTCAATGCTGTGCACAGGTGTCTCTGGATGTAGGACGAATGGGGATCAGAGTACCGCGAAATTTCATGCGATAGTATCTTTTACGTCAATGGTCGGAGTTAATTGTGTCTGGCGCCTAACACAGCTGAAAAAGCGTTTGAAGTAGTACAATCCAGCACAATTCTTTCTGTGTCTATTAAGTTGGGTACATCCACCGAGGACACCGAGCTCTATGTACGTTGTTTAGTTCTTCTTTCCACTGCAAATGGGCAGCTAAAACCGCAACTTACGTAGTCTCATGTACGACATTCCTTCCCTGCCTCTAGCGTCCACCCTTCGCTTACACCGTGCAGGATATTCGCACGACTGTCCCAAAATTAACAACTGGAATTACGATTACCGCTGATAGTACCAAAACTAACCGGTTTTCGAAGTTTCACAGAGGGAGGCCGAGTACTCGGTGTGAACCCTCAAAGCTAAATAAAAAAAACTTCGAAAGGTGTACAACGTTTATTAATGCCCAAAACCAGGTCCAAAACACATAGAGCGCGTTGGATATAAAGTATACGCGGCGACAACATTCTGGAAACTCCGACGCCTTCTAGATGCGCTATTGGCGGCCAGCAGCTACTGGACCATGATTGTGTGTTGAGTCCAGAATTTCCGCAGATCAGAGCTGGACTGGCAAGTGGTTCGATCTCGTCAATCCCATGCGTAATAGGCCCTTCAACCGTAGCAGCGCCTAAGTGCGAGCGCTAAAACGGTATCGGTGCAGATCCCGCCTAACAGAGTCCCATAGGTTTCTTGAGTCGACAATTTTCTCCATACCTCCAGATTTCTCATCCCGTTTCGATGTGCGGATAACGCCTCGTCACTTTTGGGCTGAAATTGTGCCTCCAAAATAGTACCTCAAAAAGATATTGATTACAAGAGGGCAGTCAAATGGCCCACTTCCTAGAATTATTTACTTGACTGAAAGCAGGGTGTACTCCTGGGAAAAGTGCTTCCAAGAAGAAAGCCGCTTGTTCGCTTCAGTACACGAATGTTTACTTACGATTGTGCCAAATCCACCCCTCGATAAGCTGGCAACTCACTTCTTTCGGGTGTGCATGTGCCAACCCTTGCCACTGAACCCATGTATCGTGGCACCTTGAATCCGTTGGTGCTGTTTTAGTATATGGAGTGACAACGGTTTATCACCGCTAACCTTGTTGGTGCCTCTCTGCCCAAGCTATACAAACTTCACGTGCTACCGTTCCTGAATATTTGAACTTATGACAAAGACAATGAGACGTATTAGCTCAAATTCGCGTACATCGACATCTTTGGGCAGCTTCCTGGAACCTGTTGCCACGTGACCTGGCGCTTCTCTGCTCTGCCGACCCAACACTTGCTACTCCGGAAGAAACGACCACGGGAATCTTACGAGAGACAAAAAATGAAACAACACTTGGTTCCTAGGTCGTTAACTTTAGTACCAACGAAACATCAGTGCGTCACCTCAACAAAACAACAGCGCTACTGAGGGATTTTTACAACTAGAATGAACTAAAGTCTAGAGAGACCAGTGGAGGACACTGAAGTGTCGGGCAAGGGAGCATGCATTGTAAGAAAGAGTAATGAAGCGCGTACAAAGTAATCAATTTGAATTTCAAGCAGATAGTTTCAGAGGTATTTTTATGTTATATAGCTCTCAGGTCGCTAACTGAATGGTTAGTTAATTTCGTCTTTTCAAGTAAACTGCTAAAAATGCATTTGTGCACTGTCAGAACCCATCAAAGATCAGGAAAAATTGATTTTCTGTGAGTTTCAGAGCTTACACACCTCATGAAAATGTGTTTTTAAAGTGTAATTATGGTGGGCCTGTGGTTATGCGCTGTTCGGAGTAGTACTATATCGCCTAAGGATACTGGTACATTGTCTGAGTTCCCTATAAGTGAGAAGTTCACCTTTATGCAGCATTCGCACTCAGCGTGTGCTCCCTTAGTACTCACTTCGTTAAACACTGCGGTTTTGGGTCATCCACTAGCGGTGAACAGTATCTGTTCCATAAGCGGAACCTGTTCAACTGACGCAAATGGGGGTGCGAGGGAATTTCATCATCTGTTATATGTTGTAGAAATAAATTCCTTTCTTTACCTCCTGTTCCCGACCCCTTTGTTAGCAGTCCAAAGACGAAACCTACAGAAACCGGTGCAAAATCGACTACGGTTCCCCCTCTTGGTGATTTAATCTCCACACACAGTACACTGAATTTCATCGATTCAAAACCGACAGCTAATGGTATGTATTGTCTTGGTAAACCGAGAACATGACGTTTCTTTATATTGGGTGCCGATTTTACGGTAATAGAGGAACGCTATAGCGCTCCGTAATTTTCTTCTGGCTATGCTGGTTCCCTCGTAAGATGAAATGAAATTATAACGAACGTTGTCATCTGTTGTTTCACTGGTGTAAGTGTATTGGAAATTCAAACGTTCCATTCTTTTCAGTACTAGAAACCCGAGTTGGTTTTGGGTTTGACGGGACAACAGTGGTCTCTGGCTTAACGACTACGAACCCAGGTTATACCTAGAGTTGAATTAAGGCTACGTGCACTATTAGGTGAAAATATTCGCAATGTGATAGAGATTACTTCATAGTTTAACAGACAATCACATTTGCTTGTTGATATCTGGTCTAATTCACCAGACTATCTACTGAAAGATGATTGTTTTGTTTTCGCTGAGTCACAACCAGTGCTTTTCCTTGAGGACGTGGTTAGAGTGCTTTCAATTGTTTCCTAAACCCAACCAGTATTGGTTCGAGGAGTTAATATTTGTCACTATGTTCAATATCGATTTCATAATGTTTCCTTCGATAGTTGTTTGCCCTACGCCGTCTCGTCCACCGGCTGTCAGTTCCATCCAAAGTCGTCCTTCCGTCTTGACAACCGCTACGTCTGGCGCTACAGGTTCCTGTACCGGCATCCGAACGTCTTCTGCAGTGGCTACAACCACCACACCTTCCTCTGCAACGACAACCTTCCGATCCAACTCGTTGCGAGTAGGAGCTTCGTTGAGCACGGGGGCACCGACTTTTCGTACAAGTTCTCCCCAACTAAACGGCTGTTTTGAAGACGTGATCGGTCAGCAGCTTTCAGTCTATCCCTGGTACCACGGTACCCTTTCCAGAGTCTGTGCGGCCTCTTTCGTGCTGGGACAACTGTCCTCAGACGAAAACAAGGGACGAGAAGCCTCTTCCGCAGCAACCCAGACAAACGCGGATAACCGGAGCAAATGTCCTCTTGGCTCGCCTCGTTCACTAACTAGTTCTGCTTTCTCCAATCCTCTAGAACAGTTGATTTCCGGTGCCCCACAGGCCCCTCTGTCCGCGACAGACGGCATATTCTTGGTGCGCCAAAGTGAAACGAGGCAAGGTGAATTTGTCCTGACGTTCAGCTGCCATGGTAAAGCGAAGGTGAGGACAACGCGTATGGACATTTTATCCTTTTATTAGTCTCGGAAACGGTAATAGGTCTGTCAAAAAACGGAAGTCAATTCCAATTAATCGTGTTAGACAGTATGCAAGCTACCTGCATTAATTTAGCCTTCCTGATGATACATTAAAAAAGCATTGACTCCACGTTACGATTATACCGGATGGTAGGTTAGCCCTGCTTAGACAGCAGGACTAACCCATCTGCCTTGTGAGGAACCACACTTTTCTACAGTGGTCTGCTCGTTGAGCACTGAAACCTCAGTCACTCCCCTTTAGACTCAACTACAAACACTAACAGGTGCAAACTTTAAGTGCAGTTGTCAAGCTTAGGCCTACGCGTGTGACTGGTTGAGCAGTGCGCCAAAGTCTCAGGAACGATAACCCCAACGTTTAAATGCTGTTGATGAAACACGGCCCTCGCAGTTTCGGTGTGACTCTACCACGGGCACGATCGGTGTTTTGTGCAAGTAATTCGCATCCGACTGAAGCATTTAGACCGCTACTCATTCAGCACCAATAGAGGATGACCGTTCTACTCGGCTTATTTCCTTATTCGAAGGATCACTGAAAGAGGTCATATCTTGTTACACTGAAACAAATAGAACGGACGGGCCTGCAAACTTACTTCACTGAGCAGAACTATGCAGAAGAAAGATTACTGACTCGTCGACCCTCATGGGAAGTTGCTTTTGGGAGCCCATCCATCCATCTGGCAGCCACCAGTTCCCATCATCGGCAACATTATCAATGGATATTGATGACGTCGCAAGCAAAACCAGCGTTGGCAACGGATCATCGCTGTTATACACTCCTAAATATTTAGCTAACAAGTTTCCAGTAAAAGGAACGAAAAAGGGGGAAAGGAGTCTAAGGGGGCGTGTGGCATTCACAGGTTCACCCATTCATAAATACAGACATCCTAGGTGTGGCTGATGTCACGGACGTCACTAACATCGAGTGGCAGTCACAACTTGCCACACGAACCCTGTCCTTGACAATCAGCTGGCCCATCGATCTCTGCAACCATCCGACAGCACCTATCACCAATCAACTGAACCACTATACATTTCAGTTCAGTTGTTGAAATCCAGTAGGCTTGATGGAAGCTTACCTCACCCTACGAACGCCTAAGTGACACATCCGGTAATTTCCCTAAAGATGGTATTGGAATTGTCGTTACTGTTTAACCCTTTCGTAGCCATTTTGGTCCACTTTACTAAACCTATATGGATTGTCAGAGTGAAATCTACTTGTAGGTGGGTGCAATGATGGGCTTTGCTTAAAACCCAGTCTTTGTGTCACAATTGTGTATATTCATCAAGCCTGCTTTGCACCGATTTTGTTCAAATCTGGGTTAGTTAGGACCCTATCCTGCTATAGAAGATTTTTCAGCGCCCTCCTACAAAACGTAATGATATCTGGCATAACGTACCAACTGAAACGTGAAACGGTCTTTTTACAGCGTATTGGACAATTTAAACGAGATTCTGCGGGTATTCGGCTGAGTTCCCCGTTAAAACCAAATTGGGCTTCAAATGTGTATTTCACCGTATATGGACGTTTCACTTGAGCATGGACCACAGCTATTGTAAATGACCAAATGGATGCGCTGCCAATATACACAGGAGCGAGTTGCATTTATGTGGTAGGGCTTTGACCCAAAGCTCACAAAACCAGGCGATAGACTAAACCCATTTGCTCTCGCCCAGGTTGCATACGCGGCTAAATACGTGTCGTCTAGTTTTCCAAGTCACAAAAGCCGTGATCTCGAAACGTCATTGCGCTCAGAGGGGTGATACTGTCCCACTGAATGCAAACCACACAAATGGAAATGTCACAGTGCTTGAAAAACTGGACTAATGCCTAAGCCTACAGTCCTTGTGAGTCGGCCTACATTGGGAACAAAACTCTGAATCCTTCCGTCCCAACCAACCGTTGCTTCAGTAGCGGTAGCCATTTTCTCGCTGGAATGGGCCCCGCCGAGGATTCTTACGGAGTATAGGTTCACTAGTAACAAAAGCTTTTTCTCACTTTCCCTATTTAAACTTGAAGGAAATTTGCGTGAGCCATTTAACAACTCACACTTCATCTTACAGCACCTGCGGATGACCCTTAGCCCAGATGGACATTGTCGTGTGCAACATCTCCCATTCGATTCTATCGTCGACATGTTGGAACACTTTCGTCAGGAGCCAATTCCTCTGGAACAATCAACAGCTCCCGAGGGGAATTCTGACACCCTTCCCTCATCCAACTGTCCTGTACCAGTAACCCTGTCCGCCTATGTTGTGAACACTCACCTAACCGGAAGTCAAGATCGGTTGGTGGTATGTCGTGGATCGGTCAGAGTTAATGGGACTACGGTTGGTCGTGCTGCTGCAGCTGCTCTCGCGGCAGCTATGGGCAGCCGAATGCAACACAACGTGTATATTGTCATGTAATCACTACAAAATCTCGCTTATCTCTTTCACAAAACATATGCTACAGTGACATACTTCCGACTATCTCGTCTCGATTGAAGCTATTTCTTTCTTTTTATAACATTGTTCCAAGTTACTTCCAGTAAATTACTGTCACCAGATGGTTGCGTATTTGGTTGATTTACACGGGATTTCCCCGGACACTGTACTAATGTGATAAAACGTTATCTTATGTCTTCAACGCTGACTGTTCTTTCATATCGTGACCATTTTTTGTTTCTAAGGGTGTGCCTTGTTTTCTCCCGGTAACTCAAATTTTTAGTACTCTTACCGGGATGAATGCATTTATGAATCTGTTCTCAAGCCGTTTGGTAAGAATACTTGAGCGCGCGCAACTTTTACGGTGCAATACCTAGGTTTTCTTCATCTCTTTCGCTAGTCGATGTGGGATGTGGACTTGAAACGTGCGAAAAATCGATCACACTTGCAACATAATTATTGTCTTTTGATCTCAACAAAGTGAACCTCGGTTTCTCTGACATCTGACTTGGTTTTTTACTCAGTTATGAGGTATCATAAACGTCAAGCTGAGGAACTCGAGCAGGTGGTTCGTACCATTGTACAGAAATCTGGAGCCACGACGCGCACGGGTGCGAGGGTTTATGGCACAACCGTTTTTCTAAATACATGCACGAAAAATACCGAGAACGATCGAACTAGCCTTAGTAGAACGACTCTTCGCCGTGGAGGGCGTCTGGAATGATATCCTCAACCTTCAGACTGTAACAAAAAAATCTAGTCAATCTTTTAAGTTCAACCTCTTGTCACATCGAAGTTTCCCTACCACAATGTCGATTGCCTTAGCAGGCAAACTGTAAACTAGTTTCGGTTTTAGGAAGAGCATCACATCAGGGCGGGCTGTGTGTAGGTTGTACAGTGGTCCTAGTGCCAGTTTCGTTCACCAATGTCGTTGGAATTAGGAGTGCAGTATCTGGTGTCACCGGACAGCGCTTAATCCAGGCGGACATGGAAAAAATGATTTGTATCAAAACCAATCGCTTAGGTGCACGTGCGCCTCTGGGTTAGTAACAGCCATCTGTATGTATCCTAACCACAAAATTCAGTTGCTAGTGTACCATACCCTCTAGTCCTTGATCACGCTAAACCTACTAAACCTATAACTGAAACAACTGCTACCCTGAAACCGTCTTAGGTGTCATTCCCTTACAGTGTAATCGGCACTGAGCACGACTGCGTCAATGCCATACCACCATTGATAGTAATCCCGCTGTGGAAATAGAATCGCAAGAGAAGGAAGTCTGTATTACCCATACTAGCCTTCTTCAAAATCGGAAATCTATGTCGGCCATTGTGCATTCGCCACATCCACTCCCACCAAACCTCGGCGTGTTTTGCTAACAAAGGGGATAATTACGGGTCACGTCTTCGATCTGTTAGGATGAAACACGCTGCAGCGGAGTCATAGTACAGGGACATGTAGCAAACTGTATCGAATGTGATGCGCTCAAAACAATCAACAATATTCGGTCGCAGTACAGTATCGTCTTAATCCTCATTACAGACAGCAGCAGGAGAGGAGAGTAGTGCATGACTAACAACCAAATTGGGGACACTGTTGCAGCAGGATCACGCATTCAACACGTATCCGTCCAACTTACAGTAAACATTGCAACCCCACTGGCATTACTTGCTGGACGGATGTGGAGAGGCTTATTCAAAAGAACTGCGTGCCTCAAAACGGACAGCTACAGTACATGAATTAAAGAAAATTGAGGTCCGTTATTGGCAGCCCAATCAAAGGCATACCTGAGTCACCAAAAAGCTATTTACACCTTCGATCGGGGAGTCTCTATTCGTATGCTCGAAGTCGAATACACATTTGAAAACTGAAGGTGGAACGAACTGCTTCCTGTGCGGACTAGTCTAAGCTTCGTTCCTGACTTCTGCAGATCAAGGTAGTTGATAAATCTGGAATAGGCAATGGAGCAGCCGCAATGATATTCCAGTGTAAACTTCCGAGGATGGAGTGGAACTATACAAACCATCTATGGAGGGGAAATGACTTCGCCTGTTGATTATTCTGCCCTGACAAGGCAGTGGTTCCCGTCTGGTGCCAACTCAAAACCCAGGTTCGGTAAGGTCTATAGAGGTGACTGCGCCCAACTACATTACGGAAGCCATAGCAACATGCTGACACATTACTGGGAAACGTAAGTTACCACTGTCAGATAGGCCTACCAAGCAATTTAAAAAAAAATAAGACAAAAAGGACAGCTAGATTTCAAAAATAGGTTCCGAAACAAAGCACAACACAGGAGCTTTCTCAGACCTTTCCACTGGATCGGAAACAGCGTCCGTATTTACCTAGCCAAGTCCCCTAGCCTTTACATTCTGCCTAACGATTAAGATAAAAATGAAACACAGAAGTGCATAACAGACCGGCATCTTATCACAAAAGGACCCCTCGTAGTACATCCCAGGACTGAGGTGCGGCAGTGAAGCATCAGTGCCAACACTGATGTTGCTGTCTTTGATGATGATAATGATGATGAGGTGCGAGTTAGGAGCAAAGGTATGGTTGTGAAAAATCATTTGAGGTCATAGTGACCTGATAACTAATTTGGGACCTCGCAAAGCTGCAACGATAGATGGAGCGAGATGGCTCCGTCGTAGAGCCCGGGTATACTAACCCGAACGCTGCATTTCGACTTCGGTCTGACAGAATACCAGCCCTCGGATGGCATGACAGCTGGGTACCGAGAGGGTGTTGCAGCTGAACGGTTATATTATTATTATAAAACTGCGATTGCCGAATAAGGCCAACCTTGTTTTCACACAAATGCGCACAAAAATATTTCCTGGGATGAACTCAAATTCACATTCGCCAAAGAATACCAATGCCACAAGATTGGTCCATCCCAAAAAAATATAAGGCAGTCGATTTTTTTTGTACAAGCCGCTGTATTACATTAACCGGAACTTTTGTTCACATGGGCAGTCACATGTCTGAAAATTCATCATCACACTCTCGGATATACAAAACGTTGTTGCACCGGATAAGAACTTCGCCTAGACTACCAGTGTGGCAGTTGTCTATGTATTCATCTGTGCTGTGAAGCTGCAGGTTCATATAACGATCGACGGATACAAGGTATCCTTTATACTCCATTCCCCATTTCAATTTTACGATGACTTGTTTTCCTGTAATGCTGCTCAGGAACGGCTTTGGGTTGATAACAGCAACATCCATTTTCGCTTCAGTAGGCCGATTGACCAAAAACCGTCGAAATGCACAGAATCCGCTAAAAAACAAAGTAACAAATAACGAAAATCTCTATGTTCAGGAACTGAAAACTGATCGACAACGGTACAAAAGCCTTCCTGAGTAAACATTTTGGAAATTTATTGGTGTTTTTCAAACGTCCGCACAGAAAACTCGACAGTGCGCTTAACTGAACAGCTGAAATTTTCAGGACATTGTTATTGCCTATGAAGCCAGAGTGCTTAGGTGAATCGTGGAATTCTCTCATAGCGCCCACTATTAACCTCCACAAAAAAATTGAGCTGCAACAACGACTGACAGCTAACTCAGCGTGGAAAACAGCAATTGCTTCGTTGTCATCATCATCCAGCTGCCATGCCACCCGAAAGAAGCATGGGGGCTGAGATACTGTTAGGTTGCCGAAGCCTAGACAGGGGAAGTCGAAAGGCAGAGGGCGCCGAATGATTGCTACAGCTGAATGTTCTGTAACTGTATATCCAGGAAAACGACCCTAAACTTTATGGGTTCAAAGGGAATAACAGGTACACCTGCGCATTCTCCACTATGGAGATGATAACTATACCGATCGACAGGGTTTTCGTCAGGGGTTAGTTGAACATCAGGGTCTTGAAGACCTTCCAAGGTTCGTCTCATTACTTCACCGATCACGAAATTAGATAGAAATGGATAGAGCGGGTATCCCTGACGGACACCGTGTACGGAAGCCTTTGGAGAGCTCTCCAGATAATTCACACGTTCAAAAGTCTGAGAATACAAAGAACTTATCATATTCACAAACTTCCAGGGCAATCCTTGATTGGTAGGCGTGTCAAGAACAGATCGGCCAACCGAGTCGAATGCGCCTTGGAAATCCAGTAGTATTGAAATTGTGGATCGTTTGTACCTATGGTGTGGAGATTTGGTCAACGCTATCCCCACCCGGACGGAATCCTGCCTGCTGCTCTCGAGTCAGTGTTCCACAAGTCAACATAAGGCGACGAAGCACAGGTGACGCCAACGGTTATGGGTTCCAGATGAGTGGCAGTTGGTGGACAAGATAGATGTTGTTGGAAGTATTCGGTCTAGCGGTCCAGGCGTTCTTTTTTATTCAAGATAGCCTGCTTGTTTCTGTGTGCTGGGTAGTCTCCAGCATTGTTTCCTCACACTTGAACCAGGAAATACATAGCTGACTGCAGTCACCGTACATAGATCGAATCAAAATAGAGTACGCCACGCGGTAGTTAAGTGGATCGACAGGTAAGAAGGGTGGTAGATAAGATAGCCGTTTTCATGGGTTTGACGAATGTGAAATACAAAAAGGGATGTATGTGGAAATCTAGATGTCCAGATCCTTAAAATATTTTTCGGAAGGAAGGGTCTGTATTATTAGGGAATACTACTGGATGAGGCGTGGTTTTGATATGCCAACAGCGGTTGATGGCAATCCGTAAAAAGAACTACATCACGCTTTTAAATCGTTAACATAGAGCAGCACTGAGCAACTGGCAGAGAGAACAGAGGTCGATACAATAAGGCGTGGTCTTAGGATAAATCCTTAAGGAACTTCAATGCATGCCTCGAGCGGAGAGGAGGGAGATTCACAATCAAGCCTGGGAGGCTCGTTTGGTGAAGGCTGATAACAAGTGGGAGAGAGGGGCACTACTACTTGAGAGTTTGCAAGGTCGAATAAGCACCATATCACCCGGCAGAATCACACCTGTACGTCTTGGAGACACATGTGACAGTGACAAATCCCGAGAGATGCTGTCTACCTCAGACTCAGAGCTGCCGACTGTCGGAGCGTATGCTGATACATCAAGAGTGAACCAGTAGACCAAACCGCTCAAAGGCGACCACTAACTGGAGTCACCCAGTAAAGCGCACTTAGTCCTGGGGCTAAGCAAAACTCCCACACTGTAGACACCACAATTCACTGCATCAGGATCACCGGATTCCGCAAGAAAAAGAGCGAGAAATCTGGGTTCGTCCCGAGCAAAACAGCCGTTTTCCAATAGTGTCGCTATGAATCCGCTGGAACCAACCGGCACAAGCTATGGTCCCGAGAAAACGTTTGTCGAAGTCCTGAAGACATCTCAATTCAGCTGCTCGCTCTTTGGTGGGGATCCGTCGGTGTCCTCTTGGTGTGCTGGACATTTGGAGGGTTGAATCCTGTGAAGCCGCTGACAACTTTGAAGGTCCCTGTTAGGACCCGCCACTCCGGGAAAGAGAGGTATAGCGCAACTAGCCATTCCGAAAAACTACGACCTCTTATCCCAATGATCCTCCGGCTGCCGTTTTTCGCACACATCCCGAACCGGCAACACTCCTACTCCGAGATGGGAATCAAGCCTGCAGTATTCCGGGTGATGACGAACGAGTTTTCAAAAGCGCAGTAATGCTGGTTTCCTCTACTCCACCTCTCCCAAGAGTTAATAGAAATTCGCCCACATTTGCTGTGCTGAACAAGCACTACCTGTCAACGCACTGTAAAAGGATGTCGATGCCGCAGAACGATGGTCAGTGGACTGGCACATTCACCTGGATGATGAAAGGTGCCCACATGTCAAGAATCTGCAACCGTCTTCAAATTGCATGGCCAGAATGGTCCAAAGGACGCTAGGAGGCTAGCTAAGACATTAGGTATCTGGCTTTTGCCAAGCACCTCCTCGGCCACCCAGAATAACCCGCCCAAAAGGCATTCGTTGTATGATTTAGCTGCCGCAGAACGATGGTCAGTGGACTGGCACATTCACCTGGATGATGAAAGGTGCCCACATGTCAAGAATCTGCAACCGTCTTCAAATTGCATGGCCAGAATGGTCCAAAGGACGCTAGGAGGCTAGCTAAGACATTAGGTATCTGGCTTTTGCCAAGCACCTCCTCGGCCACCAAGAATAACCCGCCCAAAAGGCATTCGTTGTTAGGATGATTTAGCGCACCTTACATGTATTACTCGCACCTATTGAACCTATACCGAACCGCTTCCTGAATACTCCAGCCAAGTTTTCCGCTCAGGATGCAAAAAGGACGTAGCGTGTCCAACGAGCTGTCATGAAGACCGCTGCCGGTAACAAATCCATTGATTGTGAAACGTGTTTGAAGGCTATGGTCACTACCTGGCTTTAGCAAGGTGTGGCCGGTAAACTACTAACCGTTCACTCTACCAATGCACAGTATTGTAGTGTCTGTCAGTTTGATTGATTCATATGTAAGTATTGGTGATGTACAACCTTGCTTACTGGGCTTTGGCTCATGAGCTTTGTTTCTGTTTTCCATCCATAGAAATTGTCGTGAACACCTGTCTTCGGAGAATCACTGTCCCCTGGTGCTTCCATAGCGTGCATATTACAGTATGGGCCTTTCCAAAATCAAAGCGCGCACTCTCATCAGACAACTTTCTCATTTCGGGATGGCGCGCGGAAATGCCCTCTTCCGACTGAGAGATATGAAAAACTCGACCTCAAAAGCTTGAGTAAAGCTTCCATCTTGTATATCAATCCGGTGAGTCCGTGATCTAAATTCAGTTCTGACTAACTCGAATCCGCCATAACCTCATCCGGCTTCCTATCGCGTCCAAAAAGGCTAGGTATCATGATGGAAATCATTGAGGACATATGAAAGAATGGCTGGTACTAACCCAAACCGGCCGGGTAAGGAAAGCGCCATTTTCCATAAGCTTTTGCGGAACGAACAGGCCTTCCTTTGAGGTATCCTACAGCATCGTCCGCAACATTGTGAAACGACAAAGAGGTTTCTCCAATAAACAAATAAAAATGAGTGAGTCACTCTGACAGATAAACAGAAACCAGGTAAAAACACGCAGAAAATCCCCACGAGGGGAAAACGAAACCAACTTCGAATGTGCCGCCGCAAGGTCTATCCGCTCAGTAACAGAAATCAAGAAGGGACCAGAGCGATAGGACCATCGTGATCCTTCTGACCACTGTACATTAGTACTTTCTTTGTAACTTATCATTACTCAAATTGTACCACTTTCTATCTCTCACTAAAATCTCAGCTTATTCCTCTTCTCTTCATACCGAATAATTTTTGTTTAAATGAAAGCAAAAGCAATATGACACAATACAAATTCTGTACCTCGTGAAAGGCGTGTTCCCTTCTTGCTGTATCGAGTTATGCTGTCAGTGAATTAACGACCGGTGATCTACCTTTCAGAGTACGACGGGATGGAAAGTATCTAGGACCATATTAACGATGATCCCAGGAAGGAGATCAATTTGGATTTATTGTGGTGGTAATACCTAACTGTACCAACAAACTGTGAGCTGTATAATCTCGCCTATTTTTACTCACTTGATTTAACTACTTTGAACTGGTATTTGCTAGGGTTATCCACTACAGGACAGGTGGGTGAAAATCATCTAACATCACATCCACTGAACACGTGCATTATATGGCCGCAAGAAAAGAGATTCAAGCTCTCCGCGTTCTCTCACTGGGCAAGCGGTTCAATAGGCCCAAAAGGTCTCACGGATTCACGGATTACTACACAGGATCGAGGCTTTTGCCCAAGTTTCCCGGGTCGGTTTTGTTCTTGTCGGTCAGTGTCTGTCGTTCACCTGAATGGCACAAGTGAAAAAAGGGTGTAGCAATGCTCTTTATGTTCTCAGCGTGGGTCAGTATGCTTGCCAGCGCGAGGAGTCGCATAAATAAATGTCTAATGGTGCTTTAAACTGGGTTCTGGAAGGGGCGTGGACAACCGTCGGAGGAAAGTCATTCCACGCAGCTACTACACGAAATGAAAGAAAATTGCCTGCGAATGTGTGCGCTCTGAACTTGAAAATCTTCTCACCATGTCCCCGCCGTGTGTTTGCTTGGTCAGTGGTGAAAAACCTGTTTGCCAAGCTTTGTTCAAACAGGGCATGAGTAAGAATTAGGTCCCCTCGAAGGCGACGATGCTCCAGGGGAAAGAGATCAAGCATCGCGTGACGGGTATCTTAGTTCACGGACTTGAGGCCGGCAACCATTTTCTTAGCGGATCGCTGGACATGCACAATGAGCACGACGTCTTTCGTGTGTCCTGAGTAGACAACTTGGTTGGCGTGTTCCACCCACGTAAAGCTGTCACATAAACAACTTTAACCACCAGCAATTTTAAACGGTGATGGCAGTTCACTTAGCGTCTATCGAAGCGTTCTGTAGGATAGGGCTTCAAACGCCTTAGAAAAACCACAGAAGGTACCATCTCGCCTGCGTTTGGTCAGGAGATTGGTTTGATCAAAGGCTGCTTTTGCGAGGTTGCTGTGACTATTGGGTCCAGGGTGCCTTGTGTCATGCTAGTATATGTTGTTATATTATGCTGTCAATCTTTTACAGGGATTCGCGTGGAGATGAACAACTGGCATATTTCAGGGGCTTTCAGCGCGATTGCCCCTTCTTGTTTCCCGAAAATACGTTTTAACCTTGCATCCCACTTCAAAGTACTCAAGTGAGGGTTATCCCTGAACAGTTGTCGCGACGGTGACCGAATATTCGGAGGGCATATAAATTACTGAAATGTCTGTGGCGTAGCCGATCCTTGAAAGGAATGACGTGATTTCTCGTCCTTCTGAAATGGGCACCTTGGCTTCAATTACCACATGATAATTGCGAGTGAGGACGAAAGTTGAGTTCGAAGGGTGCTAACCAAACATAATACCGTTGGGGCTAGAGAGCGCGAGTGTAATTCACAGGAGATGATAGTTTCTACGAGGTTGAGGTCGAACCACAGCAGGTGACTGTCACAGAACATCACTTCATCATCGTTTCTCTGAAGCTGCCCACTTGAGAGCACAGAGGCAACACCGATTATCCTCTGACAATTTGTGCAAAGTAAGGAGAATTTGTAAAGTTTATCCTTCCGTTTGATTGGGCCTCCAATTAATTTTACAACTGCACCTACAATCTCCGTTTTGTTTTGCCTGCCTCACAATCACGCGTCAACATCGTGCTTATCAATAGGAACTTTGGCCACCAACAGGTTCCGTGAACTAGTGAAAGGCACAGTGTGATATCACCTTGTCATTTTCCACGGATCACTAAAAGTATATGAGGATAGAACTAGGTCAACCGACGCACAACACAGTCTACACCGCCTCGCGCGCGCATGAAGCATGGAGCCAGCCAAACTCCGTAAGTTTACCGACAAGTTAAGGACGCGTGTAGCAGCTATATCTGCGGAGAAAATACCTTCTCACCGTCCGGACCTTCACAAACTATATGTTCTTCATTTGACTTGATCTACATTTCACACCGCATTTCTTTTTATACGCACTGTAACTCATCACGTTAAGCCGTTGTCAACCACAATAAAACCGATACATAAACCTCCTGAATTATATCATGGCGATCAACATCCGCGTACCTATAACCTCGGTGCCTTCCACGATTTCAAGGACAAATACACATACTCGAGTCTTTCGCCTACTCCTCCGAGGTCAGGTTTCTTCTTGTTGTTCACTGGCTTCTGTTCACCTAAAAGACACAAGGGAAAAAGCTGTAGCACTGTCCTTTATGTTCTCAACGTGGAGCAGTATTCGTGCCAGCAAGGGCTCAACAAAAAATCATGTAAAAGTGTTTAAAGCTGGACAATAGATGCGGCGGGAAAAACCGTCGGAAGGTCATTCCACACGCCAACTATCAGAAATGAAGGAAAAATCGCGTAACAGGACTGCGTGCTCCGAGCTTGAAAATCTTCTTACCATGTCCCCGGTGTTGAGGTCGGTCATTCCACACGCCAACTATCAGAAATGAAGGAAAAATCGCGTAACAGGACTGCGTGCTCCGAGCTTGAAAATCTTCTTACCATGTCCCCGCCGTGTGTTGAGGTCAACGGTGAAAAAATGTTGGACGAGCCTTCATCAGATAGGATGTAAGTATTAGGTATTCTCGAATGCGACGATGCCACAGGGGAAACAAACCAAGCGCTGAGAGAAGCATTCCATAAGGCTGGCGAACATTTTCTTAGCAGCTCGTTGGGCACGCTCAACTAGGGTTGCGTCTTTCCTGCACCCGGAGTAGATTGTTTGGTTGGAGCATTCAAGAACCGGTCCGCCGTAGGCCCTTTAAAGCGTCTGGAAGTTCATGTGTATGAACTGTACACAGAATACTAAAATGGATTGTAAGTGGACATGATGGTATAAATTTTACGTGTCCGTATGTCGATTTCCTTATGAAAGACTGCTTGATATCACCAAGGGAGCATTCAGGTTACGTTTACTGGCCCCAAAGTTCTCCACGTCAAATACTGAGGAATAACAGGATTTCTCAATCAGGCATGGGAGCTTTCCAGGTTGCTTAGTGTTACAGATGCACGCTGTGAGCTACTACATATGACACCAGCAGCTAAACAAACCCGGAAATTAATTACAAACCAAAAACTCTCACTTTAAATTGCTCACCTGGCTTAACGTTCCTTGAAAAATATGGCTTAAAGAGCTTAGCTTACGTACACGACCAGCTTGCTGCTCGGGGTCCGAGAGGGCTAGTCAAATGGTGTGATGCGGATTACGACAACCATAAAGGACTGCTGATGAAGCTAGCTCATGTGCACCAATAACAGCTACCCATTTGCCCAGCGTTGTTGCTTTCTTTGCCCGTTGTACTCACGTATCGCATAGTTGTCATTCGAGTAGTCTTTTGGTGCGTTTTTCGATGCTGCAAAAGATAGAAACCGGAAAGCTATCACGTTTTCAACTTACGTATCTGAAGTCGAATGCACACCCTGATGTGTCATACCAGTGCAACATTGAGGTTTAAAGCGTACCAAAATTTACGAATGATTAACTCGAACAAATTTAAACAACTCTGGAGGAGTTCGTCTGGGCATAACTGAAAAAATGCAACAATTCAACGCGGAACGGTTTCTGAACATTGCACATGCCAAGACCCAATAGTGTATTTGGTGGACTGTGGATGTGTTCGTTTAGAAATTTATCACTCTGCGGCCTTCATTCTTCGCGAGACTCGGGGGAGCCTTACGCGAATATATGAAGGATAATAATATAGAAACTGTGTGCTAAGTGGACGAGAAACGCAACAACGCTCTTTCGTTCAGTAAACGACTGTGCTACAAATGCAGAGTGTGGCCACGAAAACCTATAGGAGGTCCTAAACTTAGAAGAGAGCAGGATGAGCACCATTCTCAGTAGTATACAGGGCTTCCTGCGGAGTTTCAATGAAAATGGATCACCGTCGTGCGAAGTGCGCCAGTTTATGTCCAATGAATGTAGCAAGGGACGGCTAAGACTATCATCGGATACGTCCTCTAAGCCCGCTAAATGACTGATAGTTTTGTTTCATCGCGGCGGCTGATAATTCATCGGTTCTAGTGGTGCGTTACGAG